TTCGTACATAGCATAAAGTACAGCATGTAAAATTAATGCAAATACTGAAAAATATCGGAATAGATGACAAGGATATTCGTGTCATTAAAAATTTGTACTGGAATCAAACTGCTATCGTAAAAATTGCAGATAACTACACTGATGAAATCCCCATACAACGAGGAGTCAGACAAGGTTGCATTTTGTCGCCAACATTGTTCAATGTTTACTCGGACCAGCTATTTAAAAAGGCACTTGAGAGACAACCATATGGAATAAAAATCAACGGGGAACTACTTAATGTGATTAGATATGCAGACGATACAGTAATTCTATCAGATAATATTGAAGGTCTTCAAATTCTGCTTGATCGTATTCACGAGGTATTAGAGGAAATGGACATTAAAATAAATTCAAACAAAACCAAATTTTTAGTGTTTAGTCGTGACCCACATCCCGATGCAAAGTTTCAATTGAACGGAGTCAAAGTTGAGAAAGTTCACAAAATGACATATTTGTGAACTGTGATAACGGACCAACTAGATCCAGACATAGAAATAAAAAGTAGAATAGCAATGACCAAAACTACTTTTATGAAAATGAAGTCATTTCTTTGCAATAACCATCTCATCTCAGTTTAGAACTAAGGCAAAGAATGGTTAAGTGTTATGTTTGGTCTGTACTTTTGTATAGTGCAGAAGTGTGGACGCTAAAAGTATCGATCATCAACAAAATTGAAGCATTGGAAATGTGGGTTCATAGAAGAATGCTGAAGATACCTTGGACAGCAAGAAAAACTAATGAAGAAGTACTAAGGAGCGTCAACAAAGACAGAGAACTGCTAAAGACTGTTAAACATCGAAAAATGTCTTATCTGGGACATATAGTAAGGGGAAGTCGATATAAAATTTTACAACTGATCCTTAAAGGCAAAATAGAGGGCCGTAGAGGTGTAAACCTGTTTCTTGCTTAAAAAACATTCGCGAATGGACTCACTCAAATACCAAATGTAGGGCAATTATTCCATATTGCAGAAGATCGAGAAGCCTTCGCAATGGTGATCGCCAACGTCGGATACTTCTGATATGGCACGCGAAGAAGAAGATGCAAGATATAAATGGCCCTATTCCCACTTTTTAAAATATTGTAGAAATGAAGTTTTTTTTTCATTTTAAGGCAAAGAATACTAATTGATTTAGTGTATTTTTCCTTGTGTTATCTTTGGTTTAATTTTATGACATAGGTGTTGATAATTATAGGAGTTACGATTGTTTGATCCTAAATATGTGAACAAGTGAATATAATAAAATAACATCTTAACTCCTAAAACTAATTTTATTTTAATCGGACAGTTTACAATTATTTTTTGAAAAGTGAACAAAAGTTTGTTATTATAGAAGTAGCTAATCTGTACCAGACTGTTCATCCCCATTAGTTAGCAAAGTTTTTGTAGAAGTCATGAAACGGAATTGGTACCAATTCCAATAATTTTTGTAAATGCTCATACTTTTTCTGGTTAACACCTTTTGGCGCATTACTAACGGATGGTAATTCTGTAGGTACGAGCATAACAAAGTCTTTTAGAGGAAATCGTAGCAAGTCAACCATTTTTGCATCAATATTACTGAATGTGTTTTTATAATAGAGAATTCACAAATAATGTATTGGCGAGCTTCTAGCCAAACTGCTGATGAACTGTAGAATACATCGATTTAAGAATGGAGAATTAGATAAAGGAAATAATACATTAAAATTCTTAATCAGGTAATTCCGTGTTGAAAACAATTCGAACCCGTGGCTTGAAATAACTGCTGTCAGTCCTATGATGTAGCTATGGTCATTGTTGGTTTCTTTCTAATGTCCCTTTCGATTAATGCATGAATGTGATCTATGTGTGTGTGATCTTTTAACAGAAGCTTATGCACCACCATTTTTAAATTAAGACATATTGTAAGCAGGTAAAAATAATTCACCGACATCATTACGTTTCTATTTTGCCCAGAATAATTGTCCAACCACAATATTAGATGCAAGCAAAACGTCCTGAGCCCACTTTACTAAGGCAGAAGACAACTCATGTCCATCTCTACCTGCAATACGTTTATTCCATAGCATACAGTACTCCTTTTTATCTATACTGTCGTAATTAGTAAGGTCAATAGCATCAAGGAACAGAAACTTTTAGCATTGGTCAAAAAGGGGTGTTGGCAAACAGTTCTACAGATTTTCATAATCACCTTTGTTTTAGAAGAAGAAAGCAATATATCTTCTTTTTGAATATTCTAAAGAGAACTATTAGTCACATACTACGTCAAATTGAAAAACGAAACTTTTATCTTCTATATTTTTTCGTAAGAGCAATATCGTTGCAATATCTTTCGAGTTGTAGTCAAAATATGGGCCCAAAAATCAAAAATTTTTGATTTTTTTCTGATTTTGTTAAATAAAAAATTAAGCACAAAGTTTGCAACTCGTGATTATTGATGCAAGGTACAGCAAAATACAAGATTCCAGTAGAAAAAGACTCATTTGCAAAATGTCCATTATGGTCTACGTTTCAATGGATCCCGCCTTTAGCTAACTCTTGTTTCATCAGAGAATAAAATCTTTAACATTAACAATTTATTTCAAGGGAGGTAACAATTATATACCTACACACGGCATACTACGTAAATGATACTAATCTTGCAACTATATAAGAAATATTTGTCGATGATATTCCTATCACAGCTCAAGGAAGAACTTTTTAGAAATATAAAGGAAACTCTCTGATTTCCTGAATTAGGTTGATGAATATTATGTAAACAATTCTCATAAGGCCAACCCCATAGCGACCCAAATCTGTGCATAACATGATGTTCAGGGGTCCTTGGAATACTGTTTTGAACCAAAATACCTGGGAGAGAAATGGAATAGAACATTGTCGTTTAAAAGTCACTATCTAACATCAAAAGCAACACCGCGCCAGCGATAAAGGGTTTACAAGAGATGCACTGCAGACAGGCATCCCTGTTTTTGGAGGGTGGGTGCCCAAATGAACTTTAGAGATTTTGTTTCTGCTTGTATTATACAAAATACTAAAATATAAAATTAATTTTTTAAATGTGGTTTAAACTTAATAACTTTATTCTTACTCAAAATATTTTGTTTTTTATTTATTTTCTTCAAATTTCTTTAAAGTTGTTTATAGGTTTTATAGTGTACTGGTACTGAAGTTGGTGACATCTCATGCCAAACTGAATTTGATACAATTTTATGCTCCTAAGGCGAATGCCAACGAACAAGAAGTGGAATTATTATACCGAGATATCGAAGAGGCACTGAGAATAACGAAAACAAGAGAAATCACGATAGTCCTAGGTGATCTCAATGCAAAAATTGGAAAGGGACAAAGCGGAAAGTGTATAGAAAACTATGATTTGGGAAATCGAAACGAGTAAGGAGACCGTCTCTTACAATTCTGTCAAGAGCAGAACTTGATTATTACAAACACAGTTTTTACGTTACCAAACAGACGACTGTATATATAGCGAGTGCCCGCAGATATATCGGAGAAAGTAGTCATGAACTAATAGACTACATTATGCTCAATGAAAGATACCGTTAAGGTCGATTTAGACACATCAGTCACGTCTCGTCACAGTGATTGCGCCGAACCGAACAATCCGTCATACAAAATATTCTTAAATACAAATATGTTGCCGGCATTCACACTCATCAGTTGACAAACAGTTTCCCAGCTGTCAGATAGTTGATTAGTTCTGTGAACAAACAGGACCGGTTCGGCGCCGAGACTATGACGGGACTGATGTGTCTGAATCGACCTTTATGCTGTTAAAGCCGTGAAATTATATCCTGGATCAGACGTGGCCTCAGATTACAATCCACTTATCGCCAAGATGACACTCACCATTAAGAATATTAAAAGACAGCAAAGAATCCCTACAATAGACACAAAACAACTTAAAAACCTAACGTAAAAGAATGTCTCCAACATGAATTGCATGTAAACTGCATCAAATTGAACACAAAACACCAATGATATTGACGAGTACTTGGATCGACTAAAACTGGCAGGACGAAGAAAACAAAATCCCACTGGTACACTTCTGCATAGACACGGGACTACTATAACACAGACGGACGAGAAAGTACAAAGTTGGGCAGAATATTATATCGATGAACTGTTCGATGATGAAAGAGGAGATCTGGAACACATAGAACTTACGTCACAAGAAATAGGTCCATAGAAATCCTAAAAATTCTAGATGAGAAGCACATTGATGTTTTAGTGACACTCTTGAACAAAATTTTATAGTTCAGGCGTATTACCCAAAGAGTGGTTAACGTCGATTTTTATTTGTCTCCCCAAAAAGAAAGAAAATTACCTTGCAGACTTCTAATCTGTATATATGTTCTGTGATTACAGCAGCATCCATCATGAATAAAAAAAATCAGATAAAACTTATTTACTTTTTTACTTAGAATCCTAATCTGCCATAAAAATGTGTTTTCTATTTAACATTTTAAAGTTGTCCCCCGCTTCTTCACCTCCAGAGAATGATTGTGAGAGGTCGTGTTTAGCGCCATTCGTTAGATTTTTGAAGAATTAAAAAAAAGTGTTTTTTGGTTTATCTTTTGGAGGTATATTTCCCGAGATATTAAACCGTTTCCACAATTTTCCTAAGATATCAATATAAATCGTTTTCCGGATCGAAAGCCATCTATCAACATTAAAAAAAATGTTCCTTATAAAAGGTACTTATTTTTTATGAGAAATTCAAATCTGCAATGAAAAATGGATAACCCGAACTTCATAATGGTACCATCTTTCGTACCTGTGTAGCTGTGGCAGTATGCGCTAACAAATTTTCAACTTTTCTAAAATAACGAATAGGGTTCATAGGCTCTTGCTCTACAACCAAAAACGCCCAAGATAGATTTATTGTTAATGTTTTTATAACCTTTATAGATACTGCTTTAAGCTCATTAAACAAAGGTTTGACTTATTAGAAACTCACCTTAATAGCTTTAGTTTTTTTATAAAATCTGTTTGGGATAAATTACGAAAATTTGGAAAAACACTGATAATTTAGAAATAATTTTGACACACAATGACAACAAAAACGTTAACTCCATAGAACTTTTCGATGACATTTTGATGTATAAATATATTTTTAGTACCTATAATGATACAATACCAGAAAATCCATTAAAACTTTTAAAATTTATAATCTCAAATCATTTATCTATCTCTTCCAAATTTTGCAATAGCATTAAGAATGTTATCAACGGCTCCAGTAAGCGTACCTAGTGGCGAACGCTCATTCTCAAATTAAAGGTAATTAAAACATATTTAAGATCAAATATGACACAGACGAGACTTAATAGTCTATAATAGCATTAATTTCAATAGAAAATGGGATATGTAATAAATTAGATATTATTATTCTTGTTGATAATTTTACAAAGTTTAAACAAGGCGAATAATTTTTTTAAACCATTTACATCATGTTTTGCTAAATTTTGTACGATCGCCAACAGATGAAATACCTAAATTAAAAAAAGTACGAAGCGCGCTTATGTTAATTTTGCAGGTGGGCAAATACCTTATATCCTTGCGCCGGAACTGATAAACTCGAGAAAGAACATAATACAATAGTTGATACAAGCTTAATCTGTAAAGCTCCATCTTGGTCATGGTGCTTTGTTTGCCTGAGGTAAAATACTCAACTTCGGTGTAGAGCTGATCTGCACATACCCACTAGGTTGAAAATAATATTAATGACTCTGTGAGATTGATACCAGGATGTCTAAAACACATATTTCATAAAAATAGATAGGCTTATATGGTCTGTACATGTGTCAAGAACATATTAATCTACCCACCCAGACAAACCCTTTCAGAGCTACTAGTACGAAATAGGATTAGGAGTAGACCAAGAATAACATAGAGGCATGGTGTGGACGAAGACGCGAGAAATATCGGCAATGGTTAGTAATTAACAAAAACGACTGGCGAAATAGACTGATGAAGGTCGAAGCTCAACTAGGGCTGTAGTATAATTAATGACAATGATGTCTAGCCTCCACCCTATATCAGGAGAAAAGTTTTACCGGAGATAGAAAAGGAAAATCAGATAACAGACCCAAATCATCCATTGTATGGTCAATCATCGCAGCAATTCAGAGTCCTGTAAAAGCTTTATGAAGTCATAGGAAGCAGCTGCGGCACATAAAAATTGCCACACACTACGTAGGGAACTTTAAACCAGTTAAGAACAGCAACGACACGATGGTAGCGACACGATATATCTAGGTAGCGGTTATTGAAAAAAATTATAATAAATTAGAAGCCTCGTGTAATCCGGATACAGAAAGTAAATAAATAAAGTCATTCCATACATTTTCCTCTAAGTATCCCATACAAGATTACTCATTTAAAGAAGTGTAGCCATCTTTCTAGTAAGCACATGTTAACGGTATAGTAAACCCTGGTTGCATATACGGAGGCGTTTTTCTAGAAACATATTTTAAAATGTCAGGCAATAAAGGTTCAACAATTTTCGTTCAACCCTTCTGGTCTGAGACTCTGAAGATAGAGTTCTGAACTGAGAAGAAGATCTCCAGTATTTCGCGCAGGAAAGACTAGGTAGGCTAATTCTTATCCCCAACATAACACGTAATAATGGCTAATAGGGAACGTTCCATGGAAATACAGGACAGATGTCAATAAGATATAATCAAATAAACAACGGAAGATCACCTGAAAACATAATATAGATGTAGTAACTGTCATTAACTGTAGATTTGTTGATTGAACATGACACGCACACTCTTACACAAACACAGAATGCATATACACATCTACACCAGGCTCAATTAGTAAATCACCATTACAACTGGTTTATCGTTTGATGAAGTGTATGCTGTAACCACTATGCTACCAAATTCCAAGATGTATTACTATCGGCATCAAATGATGCCTGGCACAGGCGGAAATATTGCCTAAGCGACGCACTAGAGAGCTGCTCAACTTTTATGATGTTTATATCAAAGTTAAACCTATTAAAACGTATATATTTTATATATTTTTACAGATTTTTTGTATTTTGTATTATGATAACCACCAGAATATCTTATGTCGTTTACTTTTCATTGTATGAATTTTGTAAACTCAATGACTGATAGACTACCTGTTGATATACTATCATCGTTTAGATTTTGAGAAGCTATAATACCTTAATGGGCCCATTACAAACACCATTTTAAATACTTGGGATGCTAGATAAACGACACATAATAAGGAAATTAAAACTCTTATAAAAATGACAAAATAAGCATGTATGAAACTTAGACCATTCCCAGCTGAACCTACAACTAAGAATTAAGATCCTAAAATGGTATGTATATCCTGTATTACTATATCGGGTGTGAAATATGTATCATGAAAGTTCTTCTTCCTCTTTATAAGCAATTCTGCTTATTCATTGGCGGATTAACACCTCTATGGAAGGTTTTCACTCCATCTCTTGCGCGCTTGTCCTATACTTCTTCTGCTGATTTATCTCTTGGTATTTTGACAACACGGGTCTCCTCCATTCTGTTTATGTGGTCATTCCATTTTTTTTTATTTTGTGTCCATTCATTTATACACTGTACGTTACATTTTCTTCTAATGTCTTCACTTCTCTTTCGATCTCTCAGCGTATTTCCTGTAATTCTTCTCAGTACTCTCATCTCTGAAGTTTCCAGTAGCCTTTTGAGTTGTGGCTGTGTCGGGTCTTGTTTCTGAGGCATATGTCATTATTGGTCTTACACTGACTTTATAAATTCTTGAATTCATCTCAGTGTTAATGTGTCTATTTCACCATAGAGTATAATTAAGGCATCCTGCAGGTCTATTTGCTTTTTGTACTTGATCTCCCACTTCTTTGTAAAGGTCTCCATAGCTAGACAGTGTAATTCCCAGGTATTTTATTTCCATTACTTGTTCAATACTGATGCCATCAATTTCTATTTTACATTTAGTTAGTTCTTTGCTGACTACTATTGTTTTAGTTTTCTTAGATGAGATTGTCATATTAAATTCTTTTGTTCTTATGTTAAATCTATGGACCAGCCTTTGCAGACTATCTTCATCTTGGGCTATCAATATCGCGTCGTCTGCATAACAGAGTATTTTTATTTCCTTGTTTTCCATTCTGTATCCTCTTCCTTTGTTAACGTTTTTGATGATTTCATCCACGATCAAATTGAAGAGCGTGGGCTCAATGAATCCTCTTGTCTTATTCCGCTGCCTATTTCTATAGGTTCTGTAAGTTGTCCATCTATTCTGACTTCTATTTTGTTGGTTTGGTAGATGTTTTCGATAGTTTTATAATGTTTAGGGGAACTTCTCTATTATACAGAAAATGGATTACATCTTTGAGTTTTACTCTGTCAGCATTAACGCTTTCTTAAAAAAAAAAAATATAAAAAAAATTATTAAACACCTTACTCATTTTTATTTATTACTAACAAAACAAATGAATACATCATGCTCAGGTTTGATACTATGAAACATTTTACACAAATTAATGATTCAATCTAACATAGTCTGGCTAATTGGTTCTCGCCAAAGCCATAAATTCCACGAAAAAAAAAACGCACTCTAGTTGAGGATATTGAGAGAAAACAGCTCATATGGTATGGACATGTGAGCCGAAAGGACAAAGTTGCCTAAAAAAAACGATGATGTGGCAACCCCCAAAGAAGAGGAAACGAGAAGACCACCACAGACCTGGAACCTGGGAGTTAGGAAAGCGATTAGCGCTCGAAATCTGGACGAAGACCTAACTCAAGACGAATATAGGTTATTCCACGAATATACGACTGTTTTGGATTATTACGACAACGAATATTTTACTGTGCAAGTAGAAGTATGAAAGTAAATTGGTCTAAACAGTATTCCAATAAAATGGATTTACTGTTAGTTTGATACTTCACATCGTACAACATGCAAAATTTATTGTGAATTTATCCGAAAATCAAAAATTTTTACGCGAACGGTCCTACAAATAAATACAATCAGTTCTATGAAGCCAAAATGTGTTCATACGACATTTGGTTAGGTTTCTGTGAAATGTAAACACCAAAGAGGCCGGGTTTCTTTGATATTACACTTTTTATTACTTTATTAGGTACTAAAACTGTAATAAAAAGAAATATACTTTTAATATAAATGAACAGAAATTGGCAGAACGATGGTTTGGAAACTAGAAAAAAGATCTATAATTTCACTTTGTTAGTTTTAAATATTTGTTTGATTTGAGTGGATGTACACCTAAAGTTCCGAAAGTAACGGGTACAACATACCGGCTATTGATAGTTGAAGTACCGAGTCGTTACAGATATTAAAAAGTAACGAACATTTATATACAGTTTCATATGACTGATTTTAGTTTTAAAAACTGTCCGTATAGAGGTGTCCGGTAAAGAGAGGTGCCGTTAAGAGAGAGTTTAGTGTATTTGTTTATTGAAGCCAAAAACGCCGAGACGTGTTTTAGATGTAGACAACTTTATATTTAATGTACTTTCCTATGGCGAAGTTCTGTGAATCTGATGGTTGATGATAGTTTTAGGAGATTAGGAGAATAAGAAAATAAGTAAGTTTTTTTTGGTTTCTTAATACTAATTGAATATTCGACTAAATCAATTACACTATTTAATCACCTAAGTATTGTTACACTTCGTTTAAATCACTTAATTCAAAAACCAACTTGTTTACATTACTAAAATCAATGATAGTAATTATATACTTCAAAATCTGAATTATAACTATTCTATAAACTATCAACTCTATATTAATATCATGACTTCATATTTAAATTTTAAGTCATAACAGTATTTTAAAAATAGGGAGAATTTACTATTGTACAATTCAGCACATTGGACCATTCTAATAGAGACCTTAAACCGAATTTAAAACAGTCGTATATTCGTGGAATGGAGTATACAGTGGCGTTTGGGAGTCGGACAACGTCGTAAGACGTTATAAAACCGAATACATATACAGCAATGCAGGTCTATTAACTCTAATGATTTCTCTGTAAGTTGCTTTTTAACAAAAACTATTGCATTTGTAAAATTTTAATTGTAAGTTTTAGCGTAGTATTTAACAAGTTTATACCTTCGTCTTTTATCTCCTTTTTTAAATAGAATTAGTTCGCTCGTTCTCCATTCTTTCGGTATTTTATTGTTTCATAATTTTATTAATTAATGTTGTTAATTGTTCTGTCATTGCTGCTCCACACTATTTCAGTAATTCGTTTGGTATCCCATCTTTACCTGCTGCTTTTCTGTTCTTCAGGTTTTCAAGTATTTTCCGAACTTCCTGTACATTTATATTAAGTTCTTCATAAAAGATATAATTACAAACAAGTCTTCGAGGTGTGGTCTTATCGTAGAATGCTCAAAAAATCCTGGGTTCAGCGTATCTCAAACATAGAAGTAGAATAGGTCAAGGCGAAGGTAATTTAACGAAAATGATAAAAAAGAGAAAACTTAAATTAACTTGGAGCATATAATGAGAAGATGCAGATATTAGATACTGCAGTCAACGGAAAGTTAAAAGAAAAGCAAGAAATTGGTAGTAAGAATATAGCTTTTCGTTTTTCGGTCCGACTTCAAATGTCTTTCAGCCAAGACGCTTGTTTTCTCTTTACACCCCTTCTACATAATATTTTTCCCCCGGTGTCAGAAGGAGTATACAATACATATTTCTTTTCAATATATGACCCACACATATTTTTCTACTGTTAACAGTTTTTAGTAGTTCTTCTTAGCTCTTTTTAAAACTTTATTGTTATTTACGTGAAAAATTCAAGACATCGGTAATTTTCATCTATGTATTTACATTTCCACTGCTTTAATTCGCTTCATTGTTGGCACTTTTAGCGTCTACGCTTCTACTCCAGACCAAATATCCTTTGTCCCTTCGTTCAAAATTGAGATTGATTGTCTACATTTTTAAAAATGGCTTAGTAGTTTTTTTTATTTCTTGTCTGGATCAAGTTTATCCGTTATGATTGTTTTTAAATATACGATGTAAATCATTTTAACCTTGTACTAAATTTAATTCGAGTTGTGCGTTTGGATATGAGTTACGGTTGTAGACTAAACATTTCCTCTCCTCTCCTACTTCATGGATACGATTCACCAGAATTCGGTGGCGTTGTACGCTGTCCTTAGCATCATCCAGGATTCAAGGACATTGCGAATAATCGTCAATTACTATTTTTGTTCTTATGGGGTCTGCTTTTTTAAAAACCTTATTGACCTCCTCCATAATGGTTTCTATATTTTTAATTTATTATTAATAATTTTCGAGTACATTTTATGGATTGCATTCAATAGACTGAGAACCCGTGTCTTAGAGAATTCTTAGAAATCCATATTTTCTGTGTCTGCACATTTTTCAATAGAAAGTTCAGGAGAAACAGTGCTTTTCTAGTTCTGATTGTATTTCTAAAATCAAACTGCATCTCTTCAAGGTTTTCTTCGAATAAAGGGTAATATAATCATAAAAAGTAATATAATTTATTTAAATCTAATTATAACATTAAAACAATATAAAAAAGTATACTAAAGTTAAATAAAATCACAAAACCTAATATATATCTAAAAAAACTAATTAATATTTAGTCATTTTTTCACCCCGTTTTGGTTGTATTAAATCAGACCATCGAAGAGTCTTCATGGGAGAAAGTTCATCATTTAATTCATCATCCGCCATATTTTCAGCACAGCTGTTCTGAAGTTCTTCAATACCATCTGAAAACAGATTTTTTTATGTAATATAATTTCTGTGTATTTACAATTTACATAAAAACGAAATGTTAATCAAAAAATCTGACACTTGCTAAGACTTTTCCATAAGATCTAGAAACAAGAATACGTTTTTTACTATGCGTCTACACTTAAGAGTCTTTAACTGAATAAGTATCAGGAGGGAAGAGTTGTTTGTCTTAAGTTGGTCATTCAGAATTATATCATACGATTAAAAATAGTTTTTTCGACACTAAGTAGGCTACGACAATGAATTTGACGGGGAGTTCATAATGTTTATTTATTGACAGCAGTCAAAACATTGTTATGAAGTGTTATATTATAATTCAAATTGAAGATATTTTTTCAATAGATATTAATATTGGTAGTATTAGTAATTAATTATCAGTACTAATAATTCGTGATGGTATATCAAATGCAGAATTGTATGCTATGATTGGAGTTTATTTCGAATGTTACCAAAATGCCGCTATTGCCTCACGTATATATTCTGTAAGATATCCTGACAGGAGACATTGTGGCAAAGAAGTATTTGAAAGAAAGGCAAGAAGATTAAGAGAAACTGGTAGTTTCATCGTCCTTGTTTTAAACGACGTAGTAGAGGTATGACCGAAGATAATTCAATGTTCTTACTTTAATTCAACAGAATCCACATATAAGTAGTCAGCAAATCTCTACAGAATTAAACATACCCAAAACTACTGTTTTAATGATTTTAAAACGTCACAGGTTGGTTTTTCGTATTATAAAGTTAACGTCTGAAGGTCAGAAACTTGGAATTCCCTTTAAACTTTAGATTCAACTGTTATTTTAATATTCCGATAAAAACATCAACACGGCGCTTTTATCCGTTTCTTAAAAATACTTATGCACGATTTATCTTGTCAAACAATTGTGGATTTTTCAAGATGTTTTGAGTTTTAGTAAATATAGTGGTTTCTTTTTCACCAATATGTGTTGTTCTGTTTTTTTAGACTGCATCCTTATGTAGTTCTCCACCAAGCTTTACATGAGAGAGATATTGATGCAAGGCTGGATTACTGCAATTGGATGTTAGGTCTGCTAGAAGAACAACCGCATATCATGTCAAAGACTTTGTGGACAGACGAGGCTACGTTTAATAGTGCGGGTGGTGTTAATTTGCATAATATGCATTATTGGGCTGAAGAAAATCCACACTGGATACATGAGGTGCAGGTTCAAGGTAGATAGAGTCTTAATGTTTGGTCTGGTGTGGTTGATGGAAAGACCGTAGGTCCATATTTCTTTGATAGAACTTTAAATGACGAAACATATTTGGTTTTCTGGAAAATCAGTTGGCTGTTTTATTGGAAGATATTTCCTTACAAACAAGAAGAGATACGATATTACAACATGACGGATGTCCTGCGCACTTTTCCAGACAGTTAACATGTCTGGACTTTTATCTGTGGGGAAGATTGAAGGACTTAGTGTACCAAACTCGACCAACCACGCGTTGTTTAAATGTTATTAATTGTTAAAATGTTTTACTTATAACTATTTTTGCAATACTTTAATACAATTTTTGAACTGATAATCGCAAAAATTCAACATTATGAAATTATTTTAAAATGAAAAGTGTATAATAAAAATTAAAGCTCGACTTCATAATGACAAACTAAATTAAACCTTAAATAATGCGAACAAGAAATTAAAGCGAGAGTTGCTCAAGCTAGGGATAATTTCTTTAAGATGCGCGTTCTATTCTGCGATACACATATAAATATTAAATTGAGATTAAAACTTGTAAAATGTTTTATATGGTCTGTTCTTCTCTACGGAGCCGAAACGTGGACTTTAAAAATAAAGAGCCTGAATAGAATCGAGGCATTTGAAATGTGGGTGTACCGTAGAATTTTAAAAATTCCTTGGACAGCACGAAAAACAAATGAAGAAGTACTAGCTAGACTTAATTTAGAAAAAGAACTATTGAGAACAGTCAAAAAAAGAAAAACCAGTTATTTAGGGCATTTGTTGCGCAACGAGAAATACTACATCCCTCAGTTGATAATAAAAGGCAAAATAGAAGGAAAGCGAGAATTGGAAGAAAAAAATTGTCCTGGTTACGTAATATCAGAACTGGACAGGACTTGGATTTGAGGAACTCTTAAGAGCAGCTGAAGATAGACAAACGTTTGCCACCATAACCGCTAACCTCCATTGTTGGAGACGGCACTTGAAGAAGAAGAATGCGATTCAAATAAGCTAGCCGAAAATATAAATTTGTACGGTAAGTAAATAAATGTTATAAATTAATTGTGTTTTTAGTGTTAGTGCTAGAAGACTGTAAATAAATTAAAATAAACATTACAAGACAAATAAGATTAAACACGCTTTAGGCTAAGACAGACAACGGTTAAGTAATAGTAACATAAAAGGGAAGACAGGAGGAAATCCTAGAACTAAATTCCTACCATTTCACATTTACAAAACCTATGTATTACAAAAATAGCTTAAATTTTACGTTTAGCACGTTTAAGCAATTCCCACAAAGTGTAAAAGATTATATATTATGTTTTGATATATTTATTTCGTTAAGCCGAATAACCATACATGGTTTTAAATAAGCTCTATTTAAAAGAACAGAAAATTGCAAAAAAGTAAATTAAGTCCTAGATATATAAACTTACCCCATATAAAAAAAGTTACTAAATTATTTTCTGAAACTTCTTTAACAGTTCCTACGATTTCAGATGATACACCTGGTGTTAGTTGATCCGTTAATTTAAATACCTTAAAAAAAGATTAAATTAATAACAACAAAATAATTTGGTGCCACTTTTTCCAATCCAAATTTCAAAGAAAGTTTCATTCAGAAAAGAGCAACCAAGAATTTACAGATTAGATTTTTTGTTAATAAAAGGAATATATTAAGGAATTCATTACTAAAACCATTTAATAACAAATTTTTAATGGTTTAGTTTTAGTTTTGAATTTATTGTGACCAAAGTCAGTGTAAAACAGTGTGTACCGAAAACCGACTGGAACGATGCTTTGCAAAAGGTCAACATACCGATAAATACTCAAGAAGTTTCCGAATATTTTATGAGACGTATAAACCAGGACGCTTTTTTAATTAATACTTTAGAAATCATTGTACAAATAAATAAAGTTGTAAATAAAAAAATGGACAACCATGCTTTCAAATGATGCAACCAAGTTAACATTACATTACTATCAAGAGATAAGTAGTACAAATAAGAGGTCAGTAACATGAGTGAGATTTCACCAGTTAGCAAGATCATTACACCATCCCGTAGTTTCTTTAAGAGGCTACATCAGCGCGTCATCAATATTAATTCGATAAATGGTGGCCGCACCGTCTTTCAAAAGTTCTGCGAGTCTTTGGCAACAGTGCGTCGGCAGTACATGACATTATCAAAGACGAAGGCACAATATTGTGATAATTAGAGTTCGGATCGGATTTAAAAGCATAAAGAAACGCACAAAAAGCTTAAGATTTTATGAAAATATTTTATTATTTATTTATTATATAAAAAAAGCATAAACATAAGCATATAAATTTTAACAAACCTTTTTTACGAAAATTAGTATAAAACATCTTAGCTTAAGAATTAGTAAGTACCTAGCATCATAAATTTAATAATAATATACAGTGTGTTTCAACGAAAATTTGGCCGTCCTAGAAACTCAGAAACCAAGAGTTTGTCAAAATTAAATAATTTACGAAATAACTGAAGATAATTTTTACTAATTTATTGGTTGAACATAAGTATTAACAAAAAACATAAAATTTCATCAAATTAACCAATTTAATGTTAGAAATGACCTCCTGTGACCTCCATACAATAATACAGTATATTTTCAAAGCCCCTTCGTACATTTGCAAATACCTCCGGTCTGAATAATCGGCATTCTGTCACAATCCTTTGTCGGAACTCGGCAAGATCTACAGACGGAGTGGCATATATTTTTGATATTAGGTGAAAGGCAAAAGATCCGGTTATCTGGCCGACTACTCTATTGGACCCCTTCTGCCAATCCAAAGTCCTGGAAAACGTTGTTGATTCAAAAATTGTCTTACGCGTATATCATAATGTGGGGATGCCTTGTCCTGTTAGGAAGTCATTTTATCGTTTACAAGATTATCATCAGGTTCCAATGTGTCAGTGAGCAGCGGATCAATAACGTCTTCTAACAAATTTAAATAAGTTGTTCCGTTGAGATTGCCTTAAAAAAACTAATAGTCCAATAACGTGATTCCCTAAAATTCCAACCCATACATTTAGTTTCTGAGGTGTTTGTGTATGTGTCTCAATGAATAAATGAGGATTACTGTTACTCATAATTATGTCTATTGTCTTCACCATTTAACATAAAAGTACACTCGTCGGAAAAACACGTACAATCGATGTTGGTTGTTTTTATGATTTCACTAAATTCTTCACAAATTTGACGTCGATGATCAGGATCATCTTCGTTTAATTGATGAAGTAATCGTATTTTATAAGGATAAAATTTATAGTATTTTATAATTCGATAAACACTAGATGCTCATAGACCAGATGCACGAGGTAGTTGTCTGATAGACTTTCGATTATCCATTTGTCAATGACCCAATACTGCCACTTCAACTGCTTCATTTCGCACTCGACGGTCTACTTCATGCTTTGTGTTATTAACGTCACCTAAAGCTTCAAACTTTTTTCTTTTAAACGTTTTCAGTTTAATGTATTGGTGACTTACGTTTTTTCTGGATTTGGAAATTTTTTCCATTTTCAAAAATATTTATATTTCTATAATAGAAAAAAATCCTCCAGCTATATACTCGCATTAGAATTTGAAATATTTTTACGTAAAATAGACTTTTAAAACCCACAATTAATAATAATATATTTTTTTTCAAATAGTCCGACAACTCAGTTCTATTACCCAAATATAATAAATTAATTTTAAACAAACACTACTTCACTATGAATCAAAACTCGAATTTCAATATCTTGAAAATAATACACTACTGCATGAACAGATATCGATACAGATAACAGAGCAGAATCGTCAGAAAACAGACGTAGAAGTGCAAATGTGATAGCGGTGACTATTTCTCTGTGTTGCCAACTCACTCAGTTAAGTTCAATTTCTTGTTATAGTTAATTGATTTTAGTTGATTTTAGTAATTCCAATGTGACACAAAATCTAGTCATGGAATAAAAAAGTTTATTTGAAGAAAGTGTATTTTTTTGTTTTTCTTAATGACGGTAAAAACTCGTTTTTGTAATATTTTATTTAGTTATAGAGTAATTTCCACATACTAACATATTTCTCAAATTGGGCTTCGTACCGCCATTCTTTACTATATCACGTATATGTGTGCCAAATATCTCGTCAAAGTATTTAAAATTAAAGCTGCAATATTGGAACGCGTTTTCCGTCTTGATGACGCGCTGATGTAGCCTCTTAATAGCGTTCCATACATGACCAATTTAGAGCCTACTCTTGAGAGATTGCAAAATACCGTAAGAGCTTAACCTCAATGATAGAAAAGTCCAAACCTGTATCTCCACACGGAAGGAGGAAATATTCAAAAGATTAGATAACAAGGTAGTTGCCCATATAAACAATCACTTGTAAAGTGGGCAGACGAAAATAACCTCAGTTTACTATTTGATACAAAGGACACGAGAACTAGGGAATATAACCTAGAAATTGATTTTCAATCCATAACTCTCAAAGTCAACGTGTCCTTATAACAAGAAAAGTCCTGGAAAATTTTCCACACAACCAATAACGCCCAATAATATATGAAGTAGGTATCCAGTTTCCGATAATCCTATTCATCCCCAGACCAAGATGGAACGTACAAAAGGTAAGATAGTTGAACTGATAGAGTTCTAAGATGGGTCTCAGCTACACCTTAAATATATGATGTATTTGCAGCTACGGTAATGTAAATTGCAAAAAAATCATACCAAGAGCTTACCGGGCTGTAAAGAGATTTACAAAGACTAGGTAGAGAATGACGGCCCAGATAAATGGATAAAAACAACGGAGAAAAGACCTCAAATGTCAAGCACACAAATAAAAGCCTGCTTAATATCCCTCGATCAGATAGTGTCTCTATACAGGGCTCCAAGTATTAAAAAACTAACAAAATATATAAAAAAAGGCAACTCGATAATTTATGCCAAACAGCCCGATATAATTCAGAACTTTCTCACGAATACACCATCGAAAAATAACTACCTCCTAGAATGAACTGCAAGGCACCTGGTTTTGATAAGATACATCATTAGTTTTCTACTTTTTTACTCATACATCTTAACAACTGGACCTATCTACTCATAGCTTTTAAGAAAAGCAAAGTAATTGCTGTATTAAAACCCAGTAAACCCCACGCTAAAGTTAAAGTTATTGTATGACGACCAAAAAAACATTTCAGGTAGTAAAAAGCCGGTCGCAACTCAAGAACAATAACAGGTGTCGTTGCTCATTATTGAAGCGTCATATGGGTGGGTATGAATATGAATGAAAGATAACATTTTGACCAAAGAAACCAAGAGATACTGAATGCTACGAAACTGCAAAAAGGGCGCCAATAAATCGTAAACAGAGATTTATCAAGGAGTCAAATTCGTTAAAATAAATTAAATCCTTACTCAAACCAAACTATTAATATTAACATGCTTACTTATAGAATACAGAAAAAAAATAGTTAATAAAATTGTAAAAAAATAATAAACTTAAAAAACTATATTTATTCATTGCTGTATATACAGACAACAATAAACTAATATTTAAACAAATTGTGGCCATACGATCAAATAAAAATAGGTGATTTAAAAAAAAGTAAATTAATTACAATTTAAATTTTCAAAAATGAAAAAATTATGGTATGGGTCACAATTTTTAAACCGAATAAGCTTTTGGTTTCTACATCATACTCCTAATATACTGAATACAATATGTAACTTCATAATGAATAAAACAAAAGGCAGTTTAGTCATAAAATGTCTTAGTTATAGAATGTTTAAAAAACAAAAGACGACTTTAGTTTTTGTAGATCTGACAGCTGTTTACGACACAATATCGAAGGAAGGACTCCTTTGTAAGCTGACCAAACTAATCCCTTGTCAAACAACAATGAAACGGATAAAAACATGCTTTCCAACGACCTAGATATGGCAGCACACCACAAACATTTTAAAATTTTGACCCCAAAATCTGCTGACAAATATAGAAGAATATTAGAAGGTCTGAAAGGGTTTCAGACAATCACATTTCACAATATTCGATCCGGCCAATCAAATACAATTCGGCCTCATTGTAATAGTTTTAAAATAACTGTTTAAAATAATTGTTTGCAAATTTAAAATAATCCGTGTCGGTAATGCTAAAACTATAATTCAAAACTAATTGAAAAACAATAATTAGGACATAAAAATTATTACTTCTGATTTTTCTTTATATCAAGGGACGTTTCAAAACGTCCCTAAAAAACATTAGACAAACAAAAGAACCCTAAAAATATGAAATATTTTAATTTCATACTGAATTTAATATAAAGTCTTGAAAAAGACTGTTAGAAGAAAAACAATAAATACTTCAACTATTTTACTAATATAAAAATTAGTTTCAGTGTCTTGCTATGAGAACCAATCGCAGTAATGTCAGACTTCATAGTTTCATTCGTAGAATGACATCACCAAATGAATGAGTCAGGTTCATGGAATTTTGCAGTACAAATGATATAAATCTTACCCTAAATGCAATAACATCTTCAATATCAGGCAATCCAGTTATGGCATGCCAGTTGAACAAAGATGTTGCATTTTTATATTCATAAATCTTCTGGTTATCTATACAAATAACACTAACGTCGTCTTGTTCTTTTTCTCCATTCACTTCACTGTTTTCTTCCTTGTTTTCAGTCTCGTTATCAAACCTAATGTGAGTCTTTGGAGCTGCTGCACACTTTAAGGGTTTGAAAGAAGTAGATGTAGAATTTCTTTGGGGGGAAATGGTTTCCTCGATAGTACAATTTTTTGACTTGGAATTATGCTTTCTTTTACGATGTCTCTTCCGTTTCGTTACGAATTTACTGCTATCTTGGTTTACGGATGTATCACAAGGGCTGTTTAGAGTCGTTGAAGTACTGTCATAACTGCTATTTCTTAGACTATCCAGCAGCACACCTACAAAATTACAATACCTTGATATAAAACGATGAATGGAATAAAACAATTTCTTTTTACTGTTGTGTAAACTATTAATAAAAATACACATTAGCTAAGACTTTGGCAGTTAGACTGTGAAGGCAAATTTTATACCCATTAACAAATGAACATAAAGTATAAAAATCAAATTAAACGCAAAACAAAAATGAGAAAATCATTGAATTTATAATAAGTGTTCAAAATGACCTCCTTCAATTAATACACAAAATGAGTATTAATTGCGGAAACAGCAAAAAAACTGAAAATACAACTTAGAGAAATGGAACCTAGAAGCAAGCAAATACAATTTAAACGTAAACAAAGAGAAGACTCAGATAATGAAAATATCAAGGAAACAAGGGACGGAAGATCAAATAGAAGTAATGATAGACCAACAAAAAATAATACAGACAAATTCATACAAATACTTAGGAATAGTAATCAACAACAAAATAGACATCGAGGGCGATCTTAACAACAGAATGGAAAACACAGGAAAACTATTCCAAGCACTAAATAGAGGATTCTTTAATAACAAAGAAATATCAATAAAGAGCAAGATGACTATATACAATAGTCATCAATAATATATAGACCTACAGAAAATTGGATATTAAACAAAAGACATCAGAGCAGAATTCAGGCAGCAGTGATGAAATACCTCAGAAGAACGATCGGAGTAAAAAGAACTAATAGAATCAGAAATGAAGAAATAAGAGAAAGACTCAAAATCAAACCGATACTCGACTCAATCAAGGAGAAAAAATTGGCATGGTTCGGACATCTAACTCGGATAGACATAATAGACAAGAAAAAGAGTGTGGGATGCCAAACCAATAGGGAAGAACATAAGAGGAAGATCCGTTAAAGAATGGAACAGTGACATTTCGCAGATACTGCAGAGTAAGGGCAAGACTTGGCAGGAAGCAACACAGATGGCATCCAATAGGAAGGAATGGAGAATATTAGAACACCTCGGAAAATTGTAAAATATTGTAATTTAATGAATTGTATTATAAACGGCCCAACAAAGAAAGATACAAATGGGTCTAGTGATTAAGTAAAGTACAGTATATGCAGATATAATCTCTTGGTTAATTAATTTTTAGCTTTCATATTTATATATACACATTTGGAACATAGAGATTTTTAATACAATTAATAGTGTATACTTTAATATATTTATTATTCCAAATATTGTTGATAATTTAAAATTTAAAAGGATGTATATGTTACATCAAAATTTACAGATTTTTGCCGAAGGTATCTACCGATTTGGCAATAGTCCCAAGGAACATTACTGGCCGGACAAAACAAATACATTTTGCTTCTCATTATAACACCATAAGCTGAAATAAAAGTAGTGTTTCTAACCATAAACCATGTATACAAACAAAGAAAAAGTACAAATTTTAAAATGGTATTTTGGGGCAACTCGTACCGTGATATTATAAATTTATTTACTTGTGCCTATGAAGATAGGCCAATACCGACACAATCAACTATTAGTCGTGTTATTAAAAAAATTGAATCGTTTGGTTGTGTACAAAACTGTCGAAAATGTACCTATCTACCACGAGAGAAAATAATCAACGAAGTTCGGCAAAATAGGGAAATTGATGTTTGTAGTGTTGCTGAAACTGGTGATCCTTGTTCAAGCAAAACTATTGCTGAAGAAGTTGACATGAATGATAGGACTGTCAGGAATATTTTGAAACGGAATGGTTATCGTTGTTTTAAGGTTTCAACAACTTAAGAGTTATTAGCCGAGGACAATTTCAAGCGTATGGAATTTTGTGAACTGATGATGAATAAACAAAATGAAAGTGAACATTTTTTAATATATATATATATATATAATATATATATATATATAATATATATATATATATATAATATATATATATATATATATATATATATATATATATATATAGTTGTATATCTTCTTCTTAACATGCCATACACCAAAGTGCGTAGGCGACTATCTCATTACTAGAATTCTGTTCTTGGCGGCGTGACACAGCTCACCTGTATTGTGTATTCCTGTCCATTCTTTATTATTCCTTAACCAGGACAATTGTTTGCGGCCGGCTCCTCTCCTACCTTCGATCTTCCCTTGTAGGATTAACTGTGGTATTTCATATTTTGCTCCTCTCAATATGTGCCCAAGGTAACCAATCTTGCGTTTTTTAATTAATTCAAAGAGTTCTCTTTCCACGCCGGCTCTATTAAGGACGTCATCGTTTCGAACTCTATCCACCCAAGGTATGCGCATCATTCTTCTCAATGACCACATTTCAAATGCTTCAAGTTTGTTGATTGATGTTTTTTTCAAAGTCCACGTTTCCATGCCATAAAGCAAGATGGACCATATGTAGCACTTGACCATTCTGTAGCGTATTTCGAAGTTTAGGTGTTGATTACATAGGAGCGGTCTGAATTTCACAAAAGCTTGTCTTGCCATTTGTATTCGGGTTTTTATCTCGTGTTGTGGATCCGATTGGTCATTGATTGTGGTGCCAAGGTATTTAAAAGTTTTCACGCGATTTATACGATTGTAACCTATGCATAATATCGGGTTTTCTGGAGGGTTTCTGCTAATGACCATATATTTCGTTTTCAAAATGTTGATTTTGAGGCCATATTTTTTACCTATGCTATTCACCCTATCAAGTAATAACTGCTGATCTTCCAAATTATCAGTTATAATCACTGTGTCGTCCGCATAGCGTAGGTTGCTAATTGGTATGCCGTTCACCTTAATGCCTAATTCCGTATCTTCTAATGCTTCCGCAAATATATTTTCAACATTATAAATTAAAAAGCATCGGAGAGAGTATGCAGCCTTGGCGGACACCTTTCCGGATTTCAAATTCATCCGTATATTGGTCTTGATCAATCTTCACCTTTGCCATTTGATTCCAGTATAGATTCTGAATAATTCTGATCTCCTTCTGGTCAATGTTGGCCCTATGTAGTAGTTCCATCATGATATCATGTTTAACATTGTCAAATGCCTTCTCGTAGTCGATGAAGTATCTTATACATTCTTGAGTGTAATATCCTAAGGAAGAGTTTCAACAAGTGACTCATTAAACTGATTAAGCGGTGTTCACTGCATTTTGTGGCATTAGCTGTTTTTTGGATCATCACAAAGGATGACTGCAGCCATTCTCGCGGAATGTAACCAGTATCATAAATTAACCAGTATCATAAATAGTTGTATATATATATATATATATATATATATATATATATAGATATATATATATATAGTATATGTAGTATATACTATATACTACATATATAGTATATGTAGTAGTTGGAAGATAGTGGAGGGTTCCAAAATTCATCATCGACAGCACATCCAATATTACGTTATCCACCACCGGATAAGTCCAACTTTGAATAGACAGGTGAGGGCACGATTATTAAGTTTCATAGATCTGCGGTTCAGTCTGATATTAAGTTTATTATGTCTTAAATTCAGAATATTACTGATCACCTGTTCCATATTCTTCCTTCTCTTCTATTAGACAATTTTGAATCTTCAGGAATAAAGAAAGCTGAGCAACTATTTAGAATAGCTCGAGACAGAGACAGTTTCGCCATGTTAATCGCCAACGTCAAGGGACTTGATAGGGCACGTTAAGAAGAAAGGGCACGTTTAAAAAATTCAATTCCATATACCATAAATCTATGAACCATTTCCGTAAGAAACTTGACAACTTAGATACCCCTGAGTTCAAGAAAATCCCATTTAATATTAAATAGATTAAGAATCTTTCTGACGTTGAGGTTTCTCAAAACATTCTGAAGTTGTTGTTTCTAGATCCCAAATTTGGCGCCAACCTTCACTGAAGGATTACTCCATTTGTAGAATCTTAGCTGGTGTTGAGAATAATTTGAAGTTTTCTAACAATCCTGACCTACATCTTGGGTCATCTTCCAACAATATCTTGTTGAATTTGACTCATCTTCCTCATCAACCACTTTCGGAAATAGATAAAGTGTACAGGGAAACGGTATCGTTTTTAAAAAACCGACCTTAACCTGTTAGTTCTCATTAGCGATAAAGGGAATGGAGAAAGACCATTATCTTAGTCTGAGTCAATATCTATTGGATGATGTGAGATATTATCAGCATCTTAATTCTAATCCATATTCCAAATTTCCTAAGAAAATTAATAAACACATTACCTACTTAAAAAATAATAACAATTGATAAACCCTTAGCTAAATCATTACATAATTATCACGGTTATGCACAGAGATGTTATTGTCTACCTAAAATACACAAACCTACATTAAGCATGAGACCTACTGTATCCTCAATTAATGCTCCTAACACCAACATTGATCAGTTTTTGACAGATATTTTGTCTAAATCTTATAATAATTATAAGAATGATTTTAATATAGTCGATTGCTCTGCATTTATTGAATTCATTAATGAATTCCAGTTTCACTTTTAACCAACTTACAAGTGTCTTGTCTTTCTTGAATAACCCTTGGAGTTCTATCCAACCAAACTCACCTGTTTCTCGAGACGTGTTTACAGAATTACCACAATTATTCTTCGATACTAATTTCTTAGTGTTTGATGATACATATTATTTATCAATTTTTGGAACACCTATGGGTTCCTCCATCTCAGCCGTCCTTGACAATTTTGTTCTTGATAAATTAATTGCAGACCGATTGAAGTTGTTGGATTTAGAAATTCCTTTCATTAAAAATTATGTTGATAACCTAATTCTAGCTTTACCACTGGACAACCCTGTCAGTATGCAACGATTTTGATCCATCGTTGATTCGTGACTACATCACGAAGAGCATACCGTTTTTGGTTAAGCGTGTTTTTAGAAGGGCATACAACACTGTAATTACAATTTTATGTAATATTGTGTATGTATATTATTGTCATATGCTTATGAGTAGTGACTAGAGGTCATGAAAACTAAAGGGTTTGGAGA